CCTTCCATCCTTCCAAGGTCAGTAAAATGAGGACCCAGATTGTTGGGGGCAAGAGGCTGACTCTGTAAACCGCTTAGAGAGGGCTGTAAAGCACTGTGAAGTGGTACATAAGTCCAAGTGCTCTTGCATTATGGTGGCGCAGTGGTTAGAATGCAGTACTGCAGGCTACTTCTGCTGACTGCTGGCAGTTTGGCAGTTCGATCCTGATCCTCAAGGTTGACTGAGCCTTCCATCCTTCCAAGGTCAGTAAAATGAGGACCCAGATTGTTGGGGGCAATAGGCTGACTCTGTAAACTGCTTAGAGAGGGTTTTAAAGCACTGTAAAGCAGTGTATAAGTCTAAGTGCTATTGTTAGTACTATTGCTATTAGGAAAAAAAAGAGAGATAATGTCTCCTAAGGCAGGTGTCCTCAACCCCCAGGCAGTGTCCCACTACCTGGGCTGTTCCTGCTGGTCCACAGGAGAAACAGGCAAGCACATAAGCATGAAGCTCCATTTGCATGAGCGGCAGACAAGTGCGGACACATGCACAAAGCTCCACATCTGTGAGTGGAGGCTGCTTGCGCTCACATGTGAAGCTCCACTCAGATGAGCAGAGGGTGCTTGCGCTCACACATAAAGCTCCAATTTGCATAAATGGAGCTTTGCACGCAAGCACAAGTAGCCTCGGCTCAAATGCTCTCCGCTCATGTGAGCGGAGCTTCAGTGTGAGCTTCCTGTGCAAAGAGAGCTCTGTGTATGTACATGTGTCTGCCACTCACACGCCCCTCTCCCGTGCAGGGCTGGGGACCGCTGTCCTAAGGAATTGTGGATGTGTAATTAGGTAGACTTTACTTTCTACAATCGACCATGCTCAGCTCCTAAATCTTTTCTAAGTAGGACAAACAGGCAGAAGACTGGCAGAATGCATTCATGAACACCAACTGGCTGTCAGAGGACATGATGCCAATTCTTTAATTTCACAACATACAGACAGATTTAACCATAGTTTCGATTGGGAAAATGTGACAATCCTAGACTAGGACAAGTCCAAAAATGCCAGAGAATTTGTAGAAGCCTGGCACTCTGACAAATCAGCCATCCACAGACCCATAGACATTAACAACATCCATAGACCATGCAAAGGAGATAATCAACCTGCCCCAAAGAGAAAAAGCCTCCAGCGTCTCTCCACCAGTAATCAGCACCCAGATCAGCATAGATTAAGTCCAAGATTAACTTCAGACCAACAATCAAGCAATCAAGAAACTGCCAAAGAGCCATCAGTAAAGAGCCCAACCAAAGAATCTCTAAGACCCTCACCCACCCACACAGAAAGGCAAGACACTGGAATATAAACTGAGAGCAAACCTCACTCCTTACTAGCATTGATGAAGTTACCTAATTAAGAGTAATGAAATGTCTGCAAGAAAACAAGCCAGCTCAGAGAGCACTAAGGACCCCCTCCTTTCAACCCTGAATGTACAGATGGGGTGGGATTCTACAGGTTCGCACCTATTCACTAGAACCGGTTGTTAATATTCTAAGCAGTTAAGAGAACCAGTTGTTAGAAGAAATTACTGGCCTAATCCTGTAAGGAAAACAGGAAGGAAACATTCTGGTGTTGCTTACAGAAACTGCCTCTCTGTTAACCCTTATTACATTCTTGGCAGGACTAGACTTCCTGTCTCAGGAACTTCTCTGGAGTTTTTTTCCCCTCCTTTGCTGGTACTTTGCTTGTGTGGAGTGACCATTCAAAGTTACAATGGCACTGAAAAAAGTGACCTATGACCATTTTTTCACACTTATGACTGTTCCAGCATCCCCACAGTCCTGAGAGGCGAGGTGAGGAGATGGGTGCCTCGATGTGAGTGATATTGAGTTAGCCACGCCCAGCCAGTCACATGACCACCAAGCCACGCCCACCACCTAAGCCACGCCCACAGAACCAGTTGTTAAAAAATTTGAATCCCACCCCTGGGTACAGATATTGTCCTTTATTGGAATCTTTTCTTTGTTTGGTTCCTCCAGGACACTGAACTCTTGACTTCTTTTAGCAGAACCTGTGATATGCACGAACTAAATTATTAAAGAATATTTCTCTCCATCTGTTAAAACTCCATCTCTCCAACTTCTCTTTTATTTTAGAAGCTCCCTTGTTTTTTTCTGTGTGAGCATTCTTAGGACATCTCACCTGTCTCCCTGGATGATGGTAGAATGGTTTCCAATCCATATCTAGATGGAGAAGAGAAGCTTTGGAAACTGGGTTTTTGGAACATGGAACCGAGGGCTCATCAAATTAAGTTGTTTTGTTTGTCAAGCTCTTTTGTTTCTTGGTCACCGTCTACTCAAATAAAGCATCACACAAAAGACCTGCCTAGGGGGGCCTGAATCTCTTGAACCATAAAGGTGGGAAAATAAATATCACAGCTAGGAATAAAAATCATCCATCAAAGAGCTCAGTAGCGCCTGACAATGAGAGAGGTGTGAATCTCTCCTAAAAATAAATGTAAAAACGTCAGGTGCTACAAGCTCTCTATAATGCACAGTGAAGCATGCCATAAAATATTACTTTGTCTCTCTTTTCCTGACATGCTTGGGTTAAGAATTTTTTTTTTTTCTCTCTCTCTCTCTCCTGGATGGGGGATAGTCACTCTTGCGGCTTGGCTTTTAAGAGGTGAAAGGAAAATTCGTTTTATTTCCAGAAGGCCTGAGAATAGCACTGCACCTGAATGTGCACATGTGCTTTAATGGAGGCCAAAATTGGCCTTTAAATCGGCATTCAATTTAGCTTATTCACAGTTCAGATTGAGAAAATGGATATTTACTTGGCAGCTACCTACATTTTTTAAGAATAAAAAGTCAATCGGCCCACCGTTGGCCAGGGAGCAGGAGCTGGCAGGTTCATGATTGAGAAGCTAGACGGGAATGGGGAATTTGGCCTGCTAATGATGGAGAGTTTAGGTGGGAATTTGACTTATTTGGAAGTCGGTCAAGATGGAATTTGTCTTACTATGATTCAAATGGTAGGAGGTAATGGGAAATTTAACTGGCTATGATTCAGAGGCTAAATAAAATTCGGCTTACCTGTGACTCAGACACAAGATCAAACGAAGGAATTAGGCTTATTAATGATTCATATAACAAATCCTTTCCACTCTGCCATCTTGAGATGTCATGTTAGCCTTAGACTTTCAACGTCCCCTGAATATCACTGTGCAGGAATATAGTTTAATAATGCATAGATGAAAGTCCCTTGTTCAGTTCTTACAATTTCCAAGTAAACTTATCTTAGAAGCAAAGCTAAGGGAGGCTTTCCTCTCCCTGTGGTTGTTTGTAGAGAATCTTTTCCGTGGCAATAGGAAACACTATGTAAAATTGATACGGTCAGGGGGACTAGAGCTCAGAAATAAAGACCATACATAACTGGTCAGCATCCGAAGGCAAGACATGAAGTAACAGGTGGAAGTTCATTGAAGAGAGATCCAGCCTAGAACTAAGAAGAAATTTCCAAATGGACAGCCATTTATCTGGAAAGGTATAGAACAGTGATGGCTAACCTTTTTGTTGTCGCATGCTGAAAGTGCGCACGCATAATGCCCGCACCCATAGTGCAATGTGCATGCAACTCCACTCACCCTGCCCCCCGTGAATGCGCATGCGACCCCCTGTGCTCGCCCACCCCTCCCCCATTCATGTGCACACAATCTCCCCGTGTCCTGTTTGGGGCCTTGTAGGCCTCCCTGCAGCCTCCTGGGAGCAAAAACGGGCAACGGGGGGATTACACCACACTCCCCTGCACTCCCTCTGCCCCCCACACATGCACAAGTGACCCCCCCGCACTCCCTCTGCCCCTACACAGGCACATGCGTCTCCCGCATGCACCCTGCCCCCCGCACATGTGCAGCAGAGACCCAAAAATCAGCTGGCTGGCAGGAGGAGTGCACGCATGCATGTTGGAGCTGAGCTGGGGCAACGGTTCATGTGCCCACAGAGAGGGCTCTGTGTGCCACCTGTGCCACCCGTGTCATAGGTTCGCCATCATGGGTATAGGATCTCATGTTTGAGCGGGTGGTGGTGGATTAGAACAGTGGTCGCCAACCGGTGGGTGCAGTTTTGATGGTCCGCAGAGAAATGTCACCCCCAGAGCACCCCCAAAGCAATTAATCCAGGCTGCGTGGGAACACAAAGCTGCACCGCTCACTCCTTACCTGGCAAACTTGCCTGCTAAGTTGCTATTTTTCCTTTTTTCCCCCAACCATCAGCTGTTCTGCTGTGTGGGAAGATTTAGATTAACTAGAAAGCAGGAAATCATTGCATTTCTTGCTTTCTAGCTAATCTACCTAATCTTTAGATCTTCGGCTCTGCTTTTAAGCAGAGCCGAACCTTCCTTAGGACTGAAACTTCTATTATTCAGTGCAGGTAGCCGATGGCAGAAAGATAAATCTCTGAATGAATCTGTGATTCTGTGAGCAGCTTAATCTGACTGCCTGCTTTGCCTGATTTGGGGTAAAAGTTGCTCTTTTTTCATAAAAAATAATAATATTTACATAAATATTTATAATATTTACATACAAGCCAGGCCCAGCAGTGACATGACTACCAAGCCACACCCACAAATTAGGCCATGCCCACAGAACTGGTTGTTAAGAAATTTGAACCCCACCCCTGCCTCTGTGTGCTTGTGTGTGTTTGTGTGTGTGAGAGAGAGAGGGAGAAGGAGAGGGAGAGAGAGAGAGAGGTTAGATCAGATTTATCTCTCTCTCTCTCTCTCTGTCCCCCACCAATGTCAGCAAGCCACCGTCAGTCAAAATTCATATTAGTGGTCCCGGGGATTTAAAATTATGAGTTTGGTGGTCCCTGAGGTCCCAAAGGTTGGTGAGCCCTGGATTAGAAGACCTTCATGGTTCCTTCCAATATTATTCTATTTTCGATATTCTATTTGTTCCTTTAAAAGATGGATAGACTAGTATCCCTTTCCTTCCTTTTTGGATACGTTAGCAGTACAGCCACGATACGTTGATGGTGATTTTCTACACCTGTTGACTGGTTTCAAGGGAAGATGGCTGTCATAGCTTCTAATGTCTCCTTTCAAGACTGACTCTTATGTATCTCTTCTTCTTTTTTTACTAGGTCTGTCAAAATCCTTGGGGCTTATTGAAGGCTATGGTGGTCGTGGCAAAGGTGGCTTGCCTGCCACTCTTTCTCCAGAGGAGGAAGAAAAAGCCAAGGGACCACATGAAAAATATGGCTACAATTCCTATCTCAGCGAGAAAATATCCTTGGACCGCACCATACCAGATTATCGTCCAACGAAGTAAGTCTGAGGTTTTCCACCAGGGAGGAGGAGCAGTTCTACTATTTGGTATAGTGGGGCAATTGTTTCCAGTTACAGGTATTGGGATAAGGTGGACCATGTTGAAGGACAGAGTTGTCTGCCTCCTGATCTAGGTCTCTTAAAAGCAAATTGGTTTTGGTGATAGAGCTACTTTATGTGATCTGCAAAGCTCTGATGAACAGCAAATACTTGAAGAGAGATATCAGAGAAGAGCCGACTGCCCTTCCCATTGGTTTGCTATGTGCAATGTGAAAAGGTGCCATCTTCTTTTTATCTATTTTTTTCCCCTCTGAAATGATGTCTACATGCAAAATCATTGGTTTGAAATGCCATTTTGACTTGGTCTTAGGTTTCTGCTGAGTGTTTTCCAAATAATAGACTCGGACCCATGCCAAATCTTCTAGTTAGTGTGCAAAGATCAGTGCACCAAGTGTGATCATCAGGGGTGGGCTTCTACCGGTTCTGTCCACTTCTGTAGAACTGGTTGCTCTGAAAAGCAGCAAACAGAGAGCATACATAGAACCGGTTCTATGT